TTTTTTTTTGCTTTTTATTGATTTTACATAATTGATAATAACTTATTATTTATAATCCTTTATATATTTATATATTTTTTTTTTATTATTTTTAATGATTATAATATTAATATATTGATTTTATAGGGAAGTTTTCACACAACAGAAGCTTTAAAGTATGGCACAAAAATGGTAGGAGGTGTAAATCCAAGAAAAAAAGGAACATTATGGAAAAGCAATGATAATAAGTATACATTGCCAGTTTTTGGATCAATTTTAGAAGCTAAAGAACAAACTAATTGTTATGCATCAGTTATATATGTTCCTCCTGAACATGCTAAGAATGCAATTATTGAATCAATAGAATCTGAAATTCCTTTAATTGTGTGTATAACTGAGGGAATATGTCAACATGATATGATTGAAGTAAAAAATTGCCTTAATATGTCAAAAAAAAGTACTTTAATTGGTCCTAATTGTCCTGGTATTATAAAACCAGGGGAATGCAAAATTGGAATTATGCCATCACATATTCATAAAAAAGGATGTGTTGGAATTGTAAGCAGGAGTGGAACATTAACATATGAAGGAGTAAATCAAACAACAAAAGTTGGATTAGGTCAATCTACTTGTATAGGAATAGGAGGAGATCCATTTCATGGCACAAATTTCATTGATTGTCTTAAATTGTTTCTAGAAGATGATGAAACAAAATGCATTTTATTAATTGGAGAAATTGGTGGGAATGCAGAAGAACAAGTAGCTGAGTGGTTAATACAAAATAATGTAGATGATGGGAAAAGAAAGAAAAAACCAGTTTTTGCATTTATAGCTGGAAAATGTGCTCCTCCTGGAAAAAGAATGGGTCATGCAGGTGCATTAATTAGTGGTGGTAAAGGAACAGCGGATGAAAAAATTGAAGCTCTCAGAAGTGCAGGTGTTCATACTATTACTAATCCTACACAAATGGGAAGTGCAATTTATTCCATAATGAAAGATTTATAAGAATTTTTTGTTAATAATATAATTTATATATTACTTGTAAGTATTAATTATAAAGACATATATATTTATGTATATTTATTTTAATAAATAAAAAATTAGCTTTAACCTTAAATATAAGAAAACACATAAACATATATAATTATTTTGCATACATAATTATTATTATTTATAGTTATTTAGCATAAAAGAAGTATAATTATTTCCATATACTTTATAAATTTTTATACTTTTCATAGGATTTTTTTAAAAAGTTAAAATAACTACTTACCACATATATTTTATAGTTTTATATTTATTATTTGCTTAAACAATATGATATTTATAATTATGCATATAATTACATATTGAATATAAGTTTTTATATAACTAAAAATTTATCATAAAATTATATTTTTCACATAAATAGATAATAAAAAATTTTAATATTTTTAAGTTTAATATATGATGAAATAAATGTAGGAAAACCTTTTATTATGCATTTAAATGAACTAATAATTTTTTTTTTATTTTGAATAATTTAAAATAAATTTCCTAACAAAATAGATATTTTTCACATCTATTATTTTTTCATTTTACTTGTATATTATATACATATTATTTTAATTTTTTACAAAGTATATCATTTATAAAAAATATATAAATATATAAGCTTTTTTATTGTATTAGATTTCTTTTCTTTTTTTTTTTAAGACAATTCGATACGTTATAAATTTTTTTTTTTTTTTTTTATTTATTGAAAAAATACGATAAATATGAAAGTTTAAAAAAAATTATATAAACAGTGAAAAATATTGTATTTTATTTTAAAATATCAATATCAAGTATATTTGAGTATTGGGCCTTTTAAAATAAGATATTCTAAATGTTCTCAAAAAAAAAAAAAAAAAAAAAAAAAAAAAAGAAGAGGGTAATGTTTATATGAATAACGTAACAATATGTAATATGCTTATTAAATAAAACAATGCATTTGTTCATCTTTAATTGTATTTTACTCTTTTCATTTTATTATTAATTTTTTTTTTTTTTTTTTTTATATTATATTTTGAAATATGAAAAATTATATTTTTTATAATTCATCAGTAGTTGGCTCTTTTTCTTCAGTTTCATCATTTTCTTGTTCTTCGTTTTTATTATCTTCCGTTTCTAATTCATCTTGATCTAAATCTTCTTCTTCACTAACATGACCTTTCGATGATGGTAAAACGACATTTTTACCAATGTCTAATTTAAAATCTTCTGGAAACCTAATAATATCACCGTAATCAGTTAAAGATGTTACAGCAATTTTTAAAGCCTTTTCATTCCATAGATCATAACTAATTTCTTTACCTTCAAAAATTCCATCTTTTATTTCATTTATATTAATAGAACCTGTTTCATGAGAAGGGTCAAAATATACCTTGATAATTTCTTCTTTGTCTATAAATCCATCTTTATTAGAATCAAAGAAATTAAAATCATCAAGTGCTACATCATCATCTTTTTTAGAGTTTGGATCATCCGTTCTTGTTTGTTTGAATTCTTCCAATGATATTTTTCCATCTTTATTTATATCATGATGATCTAAAATTTCTGAAATTTCTAACTCTTTTAATTCTTCATCTTTTACTGGATCTATTAGTAAACCAACTTCATTAATGTTTAATTTACTATCTTTATCTTTATCGACAATTTGAAATCTTTTTAATAATCCTTCAGAATGTTTTTCAACTTCTTTTTCATCTAAATTTTGAGAAAAGGCATCATTTAATTCAGCTAAGGAAATAAATCCATCCTTATCTGAATCAATTTGTTTCATTTCCACTTGTACTTGTTTTAAAAATACTTCATTCTTTACAAAATTAGACCATATTTCTAATTCTGCATCACTTAATATCATATCATTATTTTTGTCAATTATGTGAAATATCTTTTCTAATCTCTCTTTAGCCCCCTGTATGTTCATACCTAAAATATCCATTACTTTTTCATTACTTAAATGAGACAAATCATCAAGTCCTTTCATATCTGTATATTTCATATGGTCTGCGTTGGCATTTTGTTTTAAGTAAAATACACAACTTATTACTAAAAAATATATATATGCTATCATTTTTAATTAATTTTGTATAATAATTATATATATTTAATTATCAAAATTATTATGTTTTATTTTATTTTTGCTTTTTTTTTAAAAAAAAAAATTGTTTTTAAAAAAAAAAAAAAAAAAAAAAGGAAAAAGAAAAAAAAGCTATTGGGAAATATAATTGAAATATTTCATTAAAATGCTTATGAAATTATAATTAAATAAAAATAAAATTGTTGAAAAAAAAAAAAAAAAAAAAAAGAATTTCTTTATAAAAATAAAATTATTAATCACAATCGTATTTTTCTTTAATATATACACATAAGAATAAACATATATATATATATATATGTATATCTTTACATATATATTTAATAACTCGTGCATTAATTTCTTTTTTTTTTATGAAAAACAATTAAAAATTATATATTTTTTAAAATAATCTTTAAAAGATACATTGTTTATTTCTATTTATTTTTTTTTTTTTGTATTATTTTTTAGATCTCGATTATTTTATTTTTTTTTTTCATCAGATATTTACTAGATTTACATAATACAATAAAATTTTTAAAGATAATTATTTAATAAAATATTTTTATACAAAAAATAATAAAAAAATAATAAAACAAAAAAGTAAAAGATAAAGAAAATATATTATCCCAGTATCTTCAATCTTAAACGTATTATGAGATTTTTTTTTTTTTTTTTTTGATATATGCACGCTAAAATAATGTATCATTTTAGATGAAGAAATTACATTTTAATCATGTATCATTAATTTTAAAATACACCTCTATTCGTATATTTTTCCTTTAAATTTTTTTAAGAAACAATCAATTTGCAATGTGTAAAAATTTTTTAGTAACTATACAAAAAAGTAATAAAAAGAAAAAACCTATTTTTTTCATTTAGAAAAAAGAAAAAGAAAGAAAAAAGAAAAAGAAAGAAAAAAGAAAAATGAAAAAATATCTTCTTTTCTTTTTTATGTAGTTTTAATATTTTAAAATATTATTTTTTTTTTTTTTTTTACACTAATACTAAATGTTAATTAATTAAAATGTTTAGATAGTAAAAGATTAATACTTTATTAATCTTTATAATTTAAAAAAAAAAAAAAAATACCTTGTATTTTACATAAATATTGTAACAAAAATGTGATTACTTAAGAATACCTTTTTTTTATCTTACAATTTATGATTATACAATTCTTTAACGATATACTTTAAAAATAATATCAGGAATTTAATTTTATTTAATTAGTTTAACAAAAACATAATTTTCTTAACAATTAGAACAAACGTTAACAAAAAAAAAAAAAAAAAANNAAAAAAAAAAAAAAAAAAAAATAAAATAAAATAAAATAAAATAAGAATTACATAAATAATTTTTTTAGAGTTAAGCATCCCTATATGTTTTTTTTTTTTTTTTTTTACCTATAAAAAATAAAAAAAAAAATATATAGTAATAAAAAAAAGAGAGCAATAATATTATAACAAGATTATATTACTATATACAATATTATTTATTAATTGACATTTAAGCCAATGTAAAAAAGACAGAACTATGTATATATGTATTATATAAGAAATATCCTATATTCATTTAACAAAAAAAAAAAAAAAAAAAAATTAGATTTAATACATATTTTAATAAATGAGAAAAGAAAATTAATATATTTAATTAGTAAAATTAATTCGAATACATATTTTAATAATAAAAAAAAAAAATTGTAAGTGTATATAGAAGTGATACATTAATGAAATAAAGAAAACTTTATCATAAATTTTAAGCATTTTATTTTTATGTATATTTTGTAAGAAACTTTTTAAATAAATATATTATTTTAGTATTATTTTACTTGGGTAAATAAATTATATGTCTTATTATCATAAAAAATATAAATACTTAATGCTTGTTAAATTTATAGTTTTTTTTTTTTTTTTTTTTTTTTTTTTTTTTTTTAAAAA